TTACAGAAAAATAACTTTTAAAACTGCACTAAGTATTGTATTAATCAGATTTCCAGTCAGTGAGACACAATACTCGAGACCCACAGTTTAAAGGAGGAGAGACTGAACTTAGCTTACAGTGTTGGGAGACTTGGTACGTTGCTGGTACACTCCCGAGGAGGGGCATCAGGGTGAAAGGTGTGGCAGAGCAAAGCTGCTCTGCTCACAGTGGCTGGACAGCAGCACGGCAACAAGGGACTCCAGAGTGCTCAGGACCAGCCCTGCACAGCCGACACCCACACACGAAGAAATAGGCTACACAATGCGCTGGGCAGCACAGCACCAATCAAGTTGACACAGCCAAGCTTGACCATCACATCCCGCCTTGTCGCCTTGGTATCTAACAGATATCCTTTAGCCACACTTACTCCCCAGTAAACAAGGTCATATTTCCACCTAACATGATACAACTATCTTACATGCAGCCGAAAGTGGAATATCCCTTCCTCAAAGTGCTGAGTCCTTACGTCTTTCAAAAGTCCAAGGCCGAGTGTCTTCTGAGATTCAAGGAATATGCTTAGCTCTGAACCCCTGTAAAATGAGCAAGTTACATAATTCCAGGGTCCGATGCTGTGGGATAAAGATTCTCATTCCAAAAGAGAGGAATAGCAGGGTAGACAAGAAATGGGCTAAAGCAAGACCAAAACCCAGAAGGAGCATTAAGTTCTGAGCTCCATAGCTGGCATTTAGGCACAAGGACGTAAATGGTGACTTCCAGCAAGTATGGACAGCCTTGTCCCTGTGGCTGCACTAGTTTTAGCCCACTTGACTTCTGTCGTATGCTCCCTGTATCCTCAGCCTTCAGCTTTATGTGACAGAAGTTCCAGATAACCGGCACCTTTTTAGATTGTGCCAATCTGTGAAGCAGCCACATCTCCTTTAGCCCCAATCATATATGTGGGCTCAGAAATGAAGTGTTTCCTTGGGTGTCCGTACACTCTTGACTTCATTCTCATGGCTTTACACAGTATCTTCTCAGGGACTCTTGCCTGACTTTCCAGGACTTTTTTTGAAATTTAAGTAGAAGTCTCCTTGAACTCACAACTGCTCTGTTCTGCATTCCTAAGTAATCAGCAACGCACAGAAAATATTGAAGGCTGCTAAGAACAGTATCCAGTTCCTGTCAAACACAGCTAGAGCAGCCTCAGAGTCCCTAGACGGCTAAGCGAGAGTGACGTGAATCCCAGGGAGCCACTTCCCTAGGAGATCTCCTTAAGCAGGCATCCAGGGGCCACATCTCAAATGAAAAGTTTAAATGTTTACAGTCTTGAGACTGCCAGGGTTGGTGTCTTACTGCTGACTGAGATACCTCAAGACATGTTTTCTACTTGTCCCTGCACAAAGTATTTGGTCTCTTTTTTAATCATGCTAATCCTTGGAGCAACCACATCTCCTTTGGTCCCGACCTTATAGGTGGGTCCAACATTCAAGCTTTTCAACGTTTCAAAGTTGCCTCTGATTCTCATTATGACTGTGGCTACCATCAGCCAGTAAGCCCAATGCCTCAACCTGAATGTTGGGCTTTCTTGAAATTTCCTCCACTACATTAATTAGTTTGCTGCTCTTAGTCTCAGTCTTCTGCAGTCTTAGGTCATAAATTTTCTGTCAGTGTGTAACACACGCGGCCTCTAGACCAAGTGCCAATGGAGCCTTTGGTCTAGACTTTGACTGTTCCCATTCCTATCACCATTCTATTTTTCTGAGTTCTAACCAAAATCACCCATGCGGTCTGCTCCCTTCATTCTAAGACCTACATATTCATTCCTTACCAAACTCATTTGCACACTAGCTACCCTTCTCAATCACAAGAACAGATACAGCCGCAGCAGTGACACCATTCCTGGTACCGATTTTCTGTTTTACCTTTCCATTTGCTGAAACAAAATACTTGACATCTGCAGCTTAAAGGATGAAGGGTTTGATTTCATCCCAGGAAGTTCTGTACCTTGTTGGTGGACTTCGAAGCAGGGACATTATGATGGTGCATGTGGCCAAGGAAAGCTGCATAGTTCATGTAAGCCAAGAAGCAGATTGAGGAAGCAGTGCTGGAGAGAAAGGGAATAGTCTAGTACTCGGGGTCACATTTTCATGGGACTTGTGTGACACACCCAGAAATATGTTCTATCAAACCCTTTGGTAGCTCCCAAACCAATCAAATGGAAACAATCAAGTTTCACAAATACTTAATCTATATACCGTCTCAAATTTAAACTACAATTTTAGTTTACATGGACTCTAACGACCAATGGAAGCTGTGAAATGTGTTGGAAATAAGGGGGAAAAAATTAAATGTCATGAAAATTCAGTTTTTATTTAGGAATATGCTCAATCTAGTAATATTTCCTATATGTTGATTGGAATATGTTTCTACCATTGAATTACAAATCAAGGACAGAAGGGGGTTAACATTTATAGAATATTTACTCTGTGCTGAGACATTACTTTTGTTGCTGTTGACATCCTTGACGTTCTATGGAAGATTTTATAGTCATGATTTAATCGCCGATGCGCTCTCTGTGGCATCATGAGGTAGGACTCATAGTTATCAACTCACTAACCGAGATAAAAAGAAGAGAGTTAATTTGGAGTCTAGTTTTGGACTTCACTCTGAGTAACTGCCATCTTCTGCACTACCTCCTATCTCAAGGTAAGTGTTGGTTTCCTTGTATTGTCCCAGATTCACTTAAATCTTATGTTGATCTAAAATCTGAAAAGTATTCAAGTGTTTAAAAAGTTTCAGAGTCCTTTCAACCCTAGTTTTATTGGTGAAACTGACCGTTGACCACCCACGCTATTTTCTTTGTAGTACAGTAGCCATGCTTAGCTTTATAACTCAGATACATGCAGGACAGGCAGATCTGTAGGAAGATGTTGAGCTGAATAATCTCCCATCGCTAAACTAGGGAATTTCACTGAATCACATTGAATTATTTTATCAGAAAATTGTCACTCAGACCCACTCAATGGCTGCCAGAGAATGTTGCTGACCCTTCACTTTATTTTGGAGAGGTCCAGGCCAGTCCTCCTCTTGGCTTGAAGGGACATTTTCAGAGTTTTCTGTCATTTGGTCAGTCTGTGCCTCTTATATTTTCCTAATAAATGCTTCAACCTTAAGAAAATTACATATTTGATTGC